GCCAAATTATTTTTTTTTTGCTGTATACAATAATTTGCATGTTGTTGCCAGGTTACACCAGATGATGAATCAATGGTATTCACACAAGAGGACTTTAAAGAAATGGAAAACATACTACACCGGGCATCACCATCAGACATTTGTCAAATAAATACATCAGAACAGAAGGTATATACCGTAGTATACATCATAACCTAGTGCACATACAAAAACTACCACACTCATAGAACAACCACGCACATTTAACCTAAGAACAAGAAACATTTTAGTGACTGGGAACTAAAAAGTCGCTAACCAAATTTGAGATATAAAATTTGAGTAAAATCATGGATTCTGGATGCACGCAAGGATGGGGCTCAATATCAGACTTCATCTGAACACAGAGTGACTAGCAATTGTCTTTGTGATTAACTAGCAGTTGTCATGACTAACTAGTAATTGCCACTGTAACTACAACTAGCAATTGTCATGACTAACTAGGAATTGTCTTTGTAACTGATTGTCTTCTTTTTACAGCAGGCAAAATACAATAGCGAGGATGAATGGTTTGCCAATGTATTAGAGGACTGTGATTGGTCAGTTTCAGAGTAGAAGTCAAGTGCAGACCTTACACCATACAATGATTTATAGATATGTAACAAAGGTTTGGGTCATAGCTATTTCATACAATAAAGCCTCTGCCAAAGAAAAGCACAATGATTTTTTCAGCATTTTAATTTTACACAACCGTGTTAAATGGGAATATTGAAAAGTCGTGAGTTTACATACTTCCACAGAATTAAGAAATGCAGCAGAACTGTACATAGCAAATAAATGTTCTGTGTAATAATTTCAACACTTGAATTAATGTTTATTCACCTTAACAAAACATTCTGATGCTGTATGCTATTTAAAATACATTTACAAATTTAAAAAATATGCAAGATAAAAAAATGTGAAAAATATAAAAATGACTACTTGATTCATATTGCACCATAATCCATGAGGTATGTGACCTTGCATCACAACATGCAATAACCAACCCAAAACATCATTTATGTAGCAACAAGGGAAAACAAGTTAAAAACTGATCTGTGGCTCAGATATTTTCCAAGTATGTTACTATAACAACCTACACATCTGAATGCTTAGATGTAGGCAAATATGATAGGGCATATGGCGTACAATGATTAGAAACTTTTAAAGATTTTGTATTGATCATCTGATAGTAAATTACACAAATGCATACTATCCATGTATAAATATTACTTTAACTTAATATTGGCTTTCTCAATTCAAGATCACAATATACAGTTACCAAGTAGTAGTAGATGATACTATTTATACAATCTAATATCAATATAATAATGGCAATTTATTTATTTATTTAAATTTTTACTGCTTTGAACATATTGCTTTTTTACATTTATTTGATAAGACTTACAATAACTAATATTGCACTGTAGTTACGATAGATATAAATAGAGTTAAATATGTGCAGTGTTTCTTTCCATTTTACAGTAAGTACATATTGCTAGGAAATGATACCATATAAGTAAACAAGTAGCTAATCAATTAATTAGGAGTGATTTACAATATCTACCCTCCAAACAAATTGCCTTATCAATTACTGAATGTAATCATATTTAAAGTTGTACACAGTCTCAGACTAACTCAAAGCATAATTGGGACTATTATGTGAACATTTTTGATAGCCTGAATTTGCATGAATTGAAGAAATAAGAACATCCTAATGCTGGCAATCATTTCAGCTTCCCATTGGATGGTTTATTCAAATTTCATTTGATTTAAAAAGAATTCACTTCTGTTATTACTAGTTATTACTGTTAATATAAGGGTTAATCCGGGCAATCCACAAAAGCATATTCATGCAATTACATATTTCATATAATAGTCCCAATAAAGCCAATGATCTTGAAGTGCAACTTTAATTTATCCGCTAAGCAGAGTTAATAATTTGGTGATATTCCAGCAGCTTGACATGCCAACCCAATGATCCCTCCAATAAAACAACCCCACAACACAACCCAACCAAGATGCTGTTTGATAACATGCCGTGTAATGTCAGTAAGTTTCTTCTCAGTTAGGACTTCCATTCTGCTTTCAATGATGTCTGTCATCATGTGCTGCAGCTGACCAATGTTAGACTCCTATACAAAGACAGGTAAACAATGTTAAGCCAAAGACACATGAGTTGTTGGTGTTACACATACATTGTTTACACTAATAGAAACAATAATAGCATGCATATATAATGTTAGCAGTGGCTACTCCACTAAATTAATAAGCTACTTATATTTTTCATGTCTTATGTTATGACCATAAAAACAAATCTGCACATCCAAGATCCCTCAATCAAAGTTCATAGAACTATTTTAAAGATACACTAGCTGTAACGACCTAGTTTTTTGTATTGCAAACATGTTCTACTTGAATAGCAATTATTTCCATTCTATTAGCTGAAACTAGTTCAATTATTTGGTACCGGGCCCTTCTGTATGCTTTATAAGCTCGCTAAAAGCACTGAATCAACATCGTGAAGTGTTTATTGTAGGTACCCTAAGCTCCGTTTGTTAAACCATCATACGTCATTACTGATTGTTTGCGCGTGCGCAATTGCAAGTACTTTGTTGTGTCGTCACCGGAAGCGCTGTCCCAGCATAAACCTGTGTCATATGACGCCTTACCATTGTGTCGTCACCGGAAGCGCTGTCCCAGCACAAACCTGTGTCATATGACGCCTTACTAGCCGATTTTGGCTAAAATTCCGCTCCGCCGCCTCTTTACAACTGTGTTTATACGCGGAACTTGATATTGCTTTTTACAATTTGG